CTTAGATCTAGCTTCAAATGAAGCACAATTATATGCCACACAGATGGCGCCAACACCAGCTTCACAGGAAGCACACACGTCCACTTCACAGGAAGTAACTGATTTAACTAATTTGGTCGGCGACTGCCCAAGAAATACAGACGATGATGTTTTGAGTATTTTTGGGGGCAATGACTTGGATGAAGAGAATGATAAATTCTTAGATTTGATTGATGAAAACTTACGCCCTGCTGACGGTTTCGGGCCAGCCATTAGTGAAAAAATTGCAAAAATTATAAATGCAAAATTTACTACAGATTTAGGTGGAGAGAAACGCAAAGAAATTAGTGATAAATACAAGCCACCAGCAAACTGTTCAGAACCGATTGTCCCTAAGGTTAATGAGCCTATCTGGGCAAAGTTAAAGGGCTTCAACAGACAGCGAGATTTGCGTTTTGCAGTGTTACAAGACTGTCTTGTACAGGTCACTAGCTCCCTGTCTATCACTATAGATGAGCTTTTAAAGTGCAGGGAAAGTAAAGCCCCACTTGACTACTTAGGCACCGCCACCAGACTCTTTGACTCTATTGCTCTGTTAGGAAATGTCAACACAGAGCTTTCGTTTAAACGCCGAGATTGCATGAGACCTCTACTGAGTCCTGCATTGAAAGCAGCTTGTAATCGAACCCACCGACCTACAAAATTACTGTTTGGTGAGGATTTGTTAAAAACCATATCAGATTCTAAACTGGAGCAAAAAATTATGGCTAATGAACCACCCTCAAAACTACGATACCACCCTTATCCTACCCAACAGCGCCCACAAAATAAGTCTTTTTTATCGAATCGGGGAAGGAAACCATACCTTCCCCACACCAACAACAGAAATGTGAAGAATTCCCAGACATCTCGTCGTTAATTTCAAAGGTAAAAGATTATTCATTAATGTTAGAAACTCGTGTTAAACCCTTCCTATCGGCTCGTATTGCATCTTTTGTTGGTGGTCAGATAAGTAATTATATTGAGAAGTGGCAATCCATTACATCTGATAATACCATTTTGCAAATAGTAAAAGGGGAAAAAAATCAATTTTATAGACAAGCCACCTTTTCAGTATACTATTCCAAATAATTCTATTGCTAAAGAGCATATCTCCAAAATTAATGAGGAAATTGAAAACCTAATTAAAAGGCAAGTTATTATGGAGTGTGAACATGCTCATGGAGAATTTCTCTCTCCTATCTTTTCTGTACCGAAAAAGAATGGCAAAATTCGTTTAATATTAAATTTGAAGAGCTTTAACCTGCATATTCCATATGTTCATTTCAAAATGGAGAATATTAGTACAGTGCTGGATATGATGACTGAAGACTGTTTCTTAGCCACACTTGATTTAAAAGATGCATATTATTGTGTTAAAATTGATCCAAACTCTCAAAAGTACTTCTGGTTTGTTTACAATAACAAGCTCTATCAATATACAGTGTATCCAAATGGGCTATCATTATGCCCCAGACATTTTACAAAGCTTATGAAACCTATGCTATCTGTTTTGAGAGAAAAAGGGCACCTAATTATAATTTATATTGATGACCTCAATAAAATGTTGTATCTCTGTCCTTGAAACTATGAAACTTCTCTCAGAGCTTGGTTTTGTTATAAATGTAGACAAATAAGTTTTGTTCCCTTTACAACAAGCTGTGTTTTTGGGTTTTGTACTAAACTCAATTGTTATGACAATAACCCTTACAAGAGAAAAAGTTGACAAAATTGTCGCTTTATTATCTGATTTGATAGCTAACAAATCACCTTCCATACGGGAGGTAGCACAGGCAATAGGCTATATGGTACCTAGTTTCCCTGCTGTCAAATATGGAAAAAGCCACTATCGTAATCTTGAATATGACAAAATAGAAGCCTTAAAAGCAGCGAAGGGTGATTTTGATTCAGTCATATACCTCTCACCAGCTGCACAGGCAGACCTGAACTGGTGGTTAGCCAATTTACCAACATCTTATGGGTGTATCCAAACCCCTCCAATATCGTGTACACTTGCCTCAGATGCCTCCCTAAAAGGATGGGGGGGTACATTAGGACACCTTACTACAGGAGGCCCTTGGAACTCATCTGAAGCACTAGAACATATAAATTTCTTAGAGATTTATGCAGCGTACTTCACATTAAAATCCTTCTTGCATAAAATTGTCAGAAAACATGTGAAGATTTTAATTGATAACACATGTGCTGTTTCGATTTTAAATAACAGTGGTACGTGTCACAGTATAAAGTGTAATGGTATTGCCACAAAAATTTGGGAATTATGTGAGAAAAATAAAATGTGGTTGACAGCTGCTCATATCCCAGGAGCACATAATACTACAGCAGATTACGAGTCCAGAACTTTAACTTAGATATAGAATGGATGTTAAATCCAAAAATTTTAACGCAAGCCCTGCAGGAAATATCATTTTCCCCTACCATTGATGTTTTTGCCTCACGATTGAACACACAATTTCCCCAGTACGTCTCGTATAAACCAGACCCGTTTGCTCTTCACATCGATGCGTTTACGATCCATTGGGCTGATATAAAGTTTTATTGTTTCCCCCCATTCAGTTGTATCCTCAAAGTTTTAAGGAAAATAATAAACGACCGAGCGAGAGGAATCATCGTTGTACCTTATTGGCCGACACAGTCGTGGTTCCCAATGCTAACAGCAATCCTGGAACAACAGCCGACGATTCTGAAACCATCAAAGAACCTGCTTGTGATGCCCTCAAATCAAGAGAAGACCCATCCGCTTCACAAAACGTTACGCCTAGCTATTTGTCTAGTATCCGGACAAAATTACAACTAGATGGTTTCTCCGCAGAGACAATTCAAATAATTTTGGGTTCATGGAGGCATGGAACTCTGGCGCAATACCAAGGGATATACAAAAAATGGTCAGATTTCTGTAGAAGGAACAATTGTGATAGGGTCTGTCCCACGCTACCCTTGACGTTGAAATTTCTTTCGGATTTAGTTAATGACAATTTGTCCTATAGTTATATTAACACAGCGAGAAGTGCACTATCATCGCTCATAATAATAAAACATACTGATGTTCCGTTTGGACAGCTGCCTGTAGTTAAGAGATTCATGAAGGGCGTCTTTGAAAAGAGACCAGCTTTACCAAAATACAGCGCTATCTGGGATGTTAATGTGGTATTTAATTTTATCAGAAAGCAAAAGTCAGTTAAAGACATTTCACCAAAGGAACTGTCTCACAGATTAACGTTTTTATTATGTCTACTTAGTGGACAAAGATGCCAAACTATCCACAAGCTTTCAATAGATGACATGTTTGTTAATGAGGACAAGGTGACATTTACTATCACTGAAAAGTTAAAACACACAAGGCAAGGTGTTCACCAACAACCTTTGGTTTTTTATGACCTATAAATCAGATATAAACTTGTGCATTGTTACTCACATAAAACATTATTTGGAGAAAACCAGTGTCTTAAGACGGGAAGAGAAACAATTGCTGATAAGTTTCATAAAACCTTACAAGGCAGTATCAAAAGAGACTGTATCAAATTGGGTCAAGCACTTTTTGCAATCGGCTGGAATTGACGTTTCAGTGTACAAGAGCCATTCTACGAGGTCAGCAGCGACTTCTTATCTAGCATCGAAACAAGTTGACGTAAACGATATATTGGCTGCGGCTGGATGGAGTAAAGAAGAGACTTTTCAAAAGTTTTACAATCGTAACGTTACTGTACCGTTCAATTTTGGAAATGCCTTACTAGAGGCTAGTGTAAATAAGTAAAAATTGTTGTGTTAATTGTTTTTATGTCGCCTCAGGGGTGACTTTTAATAATATTGGTTTATTAACAGCTCTGAAATCTCGTACAACTTCGTACTACGTCGTACAACTCCGTAACGACTTACGCTGATGACGAAGTAGAATTGGAAATTAAACGAGACTTACCTGAAGTCGAAGTTTGATTGTAATTCTACGAGTCATCAGCCAGGAGTGGAGGAGTTGTACACCCACCCTATCCCAAAACATTTCCCTACTCCTCCACATGTTAATAAAACAATATTAATGCTCTGAAGACTGACCTGCGCATGCGTGATGCTCTCTCTCGTACAACTTCGTACTACGTCGTACAACTCCTCCACTCCTGGCTGATGACTCGTAGAATTACAATCAAACTTCGACTTCAGGTAAGTCTCGTTTAATTTCCAATTAATTGAACTATTTCAGGGAGATCTTTTGATTTATACGTACATATTATATTTCAGACAGGAACACTGGGTATGAAGCCAACAATGAAATGCAGAATGTACCAATAAAATCAGGTGGCCCTCAAGACATTTCAATTAATAAGGACAGTCATCCAATGCAGCCTCGTGATATAAAGTTCCCTGTGCATATGATTGGCAAGCAATACAGGGCATTTATTCATCCTTGTATGATAGATACCCATGGATAGAGTATTCGCAGAATGAAGATGCGATCTGCTGCTACTACTGCCGTCACTTCTCCACAAATAGGAAGGGGTCCACATTTGTTAGCCAGGGTCTGCGCAACTGGAAGAAATGCTACGGGAGGGAAGAAAACAACAACAAACTACTGCAGCAAAACAATAGTCTTCAGCATGCCGAGTGTGTTGATGCCTACACCCAGTACGTGGCTGTTAAGTCTGTCCAAAACTTTTCTATCTGTAGCTGACCTCCAGGATTCCGCACATGAAAAACTTGCCAGAGAGAACAGGCACTATATGCGCACAGTATGTTAAGTTTTACTGCTTACAGCTCAGCGAAAAATTGCCCAACGTGAGACCAGTAGATCCTATCGAGTTGATGATATTGACGCAGAAAGCTTCGACTTTGGTCCATCATGCAGCAATTTCTTTGCCATTCTTTCCTGCATTGCGAGACACGACCCAATTGTCACTCAAAAAATTCGATCTGGTCCCAGAAATGCAAAGTATACGCATCATAGTGTTCAGAACGCCTTGTTGGATATCATGAAAGATATGACTTTGGGGCAGTTAAGCGGAGAGCTTTGTGCTGCAGAATTTTTCACCATTCTTTCTGATGAATCCAAAGACACAAGCAAAAAGGAACAAGTCGTTGTCGCAGTCCGATATTGCTTCAACAACGCTACCCATGAGGAGTTAATTGGCATCGCAGAAGCTCAAAGTTTGGATGCAGATGGTTTATCAGATACTAATATCCACCAGTTGCAAAGAGTTAATGCCAACATGAAAAACTGTGTCGGACAGGGTTACGATGGCGCATCTGTTGTCTCCGGTCACTTAAACAGAGTTCAAAAGAAAATCCCTGAGAAAACTGGCGCAGAAATGGCCTATTATGTCCACTGCTTTTGCCACAGGTTAAACCTGGTAATTGTTGACGTGTTGAATTCTATCAAGTGCGTGGCCAATATGACATCTCTTTTTAAAGATTTACATTCATTCTTCAGCAGCAGCACCGTTCATGTTAGGTGGGAGAGCAAGCAGAAATCGTGTGGAGCAAAGGTTATGGAGATTGGTAAAGTCTCTGACACTCGATGGTCGTGCCAAGCAAGGCAATTCAGCGCTGTATGGAAACGCATTGATATCGTGATTGAAGTATTGCAGGATGTGATCCACAACGATTGTGACTCTAGCCGTAGCACTCAGGCAACTGGCTACAAGTTGCAGATTGATTGTCGTTTTCTTCGATATCTCCTGATCATTAAACATATCCTGAAGAGTGCCAAATTTGCTTCAGAGCTGTTGCAGAAGCCAACAAGTGATCTGACAGAAGCCATCGACCTAATTACCACGTTGAAAGTAGAGTTACAAGCCTGTTGCTCAAGAGAGAAGTGTCAGGAGTTCTGGGATGATGCTGAGAATGTGGGCGATCGCTTAAATCTTCCTGAGGATGCACGACCTGTCAGACAAAAGCGACCACCGGCGGCCTTGCAGGATTACATTGTTGAGGCAAGCATTGAAGATGAAGCTACAGGTGAGGGATTCGATAGATTTGTAAGAGATGTCTACGAGATTGTGGATAAAACTAATGCTGAGTTGAGGAATCACTGAGAGGAATCACTGCTTTGTCCCCTGGTTCCGCGACATTCATGGATGAAAACTCACTTGTGGCCTTCGCCGAGATATTCAAAGGCAATCCGGACAACCTCTGCTCTGAAGTTGCCACGTTTAAGCACTTGTTGAAAAGAAAAGAAAAGCAAGAGAAGCCCAAGAGTCTCCTGCAATTGCAATCATATTTAGAAAGGTTAAAAGAAGCCTTTTTCAAGCTTCACCACTTTGCGTTAATCGCCTGCACTTTGCCTGTGTCATCAGCTGAATGCGAACGAAATTTTATCTCTGCGGCTGATAAAGAACGATCTTCGAACAGTAATGACACAGGAGCGTCTAGACAGCCTTATGATGCTAGGAATTCATCGTGAACGAGGGAAAAAGCTGGACTTGGACATTGCAGTGAACAGGTTCAAGGATAGGTTTCCTAAGTGTAGAATTGTACTCTGAACGTTGAGCAATCATTTATGGGTTATGTTACTGACTGTTAGTGACAGTTACTGTTATCAATGTTGCCTGTATTGTGCATGTGGTAATTGCTACTAATATATTCATCATTGTAAAGTCGTTAGTACTCATGTAGTACATCATATAATATATTAATCTTTTTGAAATTCAATATAAGCAGGAAGCAGCATGAACTTAGCATCAAATGTGGTATGAGCTCATAGTCTCTCAGTTACAAAATTGTCCCCACAATTAAGTTAGGTGTGTTTCTTGCTACTGCTGAGAAAAGAAAAAGTAGGTGGCTAACATTACTCGTTACTGTAAATTTTGCAACAATTTACATATTCATATGCGAAAGTTAAATATAAGGATATCTCCATAAATTCATTATTGGATGAGCACAGGCACGCGTGAAGGAGGTAGGAAAGGGTGACAATATGTAAATGTCCGTTGGCCAGCTGCAGTTTTGAATAGTGGTATTTGAAGAGAGTCACATGTACGAGTACTGCAGTTGTGGATTGATGACCTTTTTATCAATTTATTTTATCAAGATAGTTGGGTGCAAGGTTGTTTAAACATTTGTACCTCAAAATAGCATCTCTAAAATATAGTCATTTGTCCACTGGGAGGCAATTTAATTCACATAGAAGTGGAGTTACATGGTCGTATTTCCTGGATTTCGTGATGATCTTACATGCAAAATTCTGGATTGATTGGACTTTCTTTACGTTGGTGGCCGATGTGTTCAACCACACCGAAGAGCAATAAAGCATCTTGCTGATGACTAAGGATGAAATGATTTCCGATCAAGTTTTTGTGTCGAAACTTTTAGCACGGTTTATCTGGTATAATTTGTTCATACACGACAAGACTAGTAGAGAGGTATGATTGTCGTAATTTAAGTGACTATCTAACGTGACACCTAAATCTTTAGCAGAGTCTACTGGTCTAAGAGATTTGCCCAAGAATGATACGGATATATCTGTAGGTAGTCTGTTCATCAGCCGCTTTGTTCCAACTATTATGTACTTAGTTTTCCCCGGATTAATTAAAAGGTGGTTTTCACAGCACCAACTTGCGACTCTGTGTAGGTCTTGTTCGAGAACTGTGATTGCTGAAACTGTTTCACATAATGGAAAGGAGAGGAGAACTTTTGAGTCATCAATGTACAATTCAAGGTTGGAGTCACAAGATACGGAGGGCAGATCGTTCAAATAGATACAAAATAATAATGGTGAAAGCGTCGCACCTTGAGGTACTCTGTGAGTAATTGGTAGTGGATCAGATAGGGTGGAGTTGATTCTGGTAGACTGAAAGCGATCTGACAAGTAGCTTTTAAACCATTTTACTGTTTCTGGGGAAGCACCAACATTCGCTAGTTTGTGTAACATTCTGTGGTGGTTGATACTGTCAAAGGCTTTCGAGAGGTCTAACAACACTAAGGTGGTGAGATTCTTTTTGTCCATGGCCTCCAGCATCATGTCAGTACTAAAACTATTCAAGGTCTCGGTGGAATGGAGTTTTTTGTTTCCACTTTGATGAGGGGAGAGAAGGTTTTTACTTATAAGGTAAGTACTGAATTTTTCAAGTACAATCTTTTCACACACCTTAGAAGCTACGGCAAGAAGAGATATCGGGCAGTTGTTTGATGCTACTTTGTGGTCTTCGTCTTTCACTATGAGAATCGCTTCCGCCTCCTTCCATGCAGTAGGAAAAATACAAGATGTTAGGGAGCAGTTTATAATGTTTGTTAGTGGTCCTAATATAATGAGAGACAGTCTTTGAGGATTCGAGAGTTTATCTTGTCTGGTCCAGGGGACTTGTTCGATAGCAGGGATGAAATGACACGGCGTAGGGGCATATGAGCTGTCTTTAAAGGTACTTTCTCCAAGGTGATGTTGTTGTCTTCTGCCAGATGAATGGACGCATCTGCTGTATTTTTGCCTACAGACGTGAAAAACTGGTTGAATTCGTCAGCGACTATCTTTGGGTCTTTTGTGTAGGTGTGTTTTTCTTTACTTTTTAACGGTATGGCTTGATTAATAATTTTCCAAAGAGAGCCTGGGTTATTTTTATGTTGCTGAACTTCTGGATAATAATTTATTTCTGAGTCTCTTAACATTGTCTTAACTGCATTTCGAGAATTCTTAAAATTGCTCCACTCAAGATCATCTTCAGCCCTCGAAAACGAGGTCGGCATTCGGCAATGCCGACCTAAATGCCGACCAATCAATCAATTCAAGCAAAAATTTGCCGACCTTATTTAGCCGCGATTACGAAAATATTAAATTTGATTCGTAGTTTGATTAACTAAACACACTTCACCTTGGCTGTGAATTAAAAAATTGACAGGTATCCTACAAATAATTTAGGTAAAATCAAAAAGAAAAGACGTATACTGTAACATAAAAATAAAGACGCTTATGAATTAGGACACTGACTTTTTCACGTTCTTATTCTTTTTGTCATAAACAACTCCATATATGGAAGTTGGTTCCATATATGGGTTGTTTTGCAATCTTGTTTAATATCTGGTTTTAAACATTTTCGCAAATGGTTTACGTTTTCTGCTATTTAAAAAGGCTGAATGCCGTCCAAGAAAACTGTCGATAACTGGGAATTTTCATGTTTGGGTTATGATATTGGTGATAATAATGAAGTGACGCTGATATGGTGTAAGACGTGCAGAGAGTTCTTTAATTTCCAAAGCAACACCGTTGCCCAAGCAAGAGGGGTTGCAGCAATCGGTTCTGAAGTCTTCATCAAAGGTACTGCCACGGTAAAGAAGAATAATTTTGCTGAGCATGTTAAGAAAAGCCAAACCCACGCAAAGCGTTACGGTCATACAATATTAATCTTCCGCTTCTAATTGGATACTGCAATAACCAGATTGCCAATCCCAAAACGACACCATGAAAAAGGTGGTACCTAAACTGCAAGGAATTCTTAGAAATATCACGAAAAACTAATCAATATGATTCTCTTCAATGCTATCAAGCAAGACATTTGGCCGGAATCAGCCCCATGACAAAGGTTCTGCAGGATACACAACTGATCTTGCCTGATCTGATCACACTTTGTTCGTCTACACAAAAAACAGTGAAAAAGCTAAAGAAATTGCTTGACGACAATGGTACAGAAGTTTTCGAGAGAGTAGATATTTTCCCCGTATGTTTGTCGTTTCTCTCTTCGATAAAGCAAGAAGTTGCCAACCTGATTCCTGAAAGACATTTACGCTCGGCTGCTAACGATAATGTCGAAAATTGTTTGTTTCACGACTATGTGATCAAAGGAAGTGCGGAGACTGCTGCACGTCAGTGTCTTCATGAATACCGCAAGATTGTTCAGAAGTTGGAAGCCACACTTGATGAGCAGATGAGCTCCATCACAAAGGACGATTTTTTCTTGCCGGTTGCTGACGTTTTGAACACCCAGGCATACTTGCACAAAACATGCGACGAGCTATTTTTAAAAGTTTCCGTGATCGTTACAAAGTTCAAGAGCTTACTGACAGCAAACGGATGCCAGTTAACCAAGCTGGAGTGTGAGCTAGATATTTTGAGGGAACATGTCAAGAAGTTCTTGCCCTGTGTCACGCCTATACGTGCTTGGCCTCAGATCTTCGCTATGAAACATGCGTTGGGAGTGCAAAATATTCTGCACGTAATTGAGCTTGGCATCGCACTTCCGATCGGCAATGCAGAGTCAGAAAGAGTTTTCTCTTTCCTTTGGCGTATTTTCAGTAAAGAACGCCAATTACTCGGCAACGATGTGATGTTGGATGTTCTGCGTTTGAGATGCGACACTAATTACGGACCCACAGCGTTACGAAAGAGCAATCGAGCTCTTCCCATTCGAACACCCTTCTGGGAATGTACGCCAACTCCATCGACACTTGGATGGGCATCGACCAGCAAAGCGAACAAGAAAACAGAAATCTGTTTCAACCAAGTCGGTTCGACAGGCACTTGACGACGCAGTGCAATCGTCCGATTTGTCGTCGTCAGAGGAGGACGAAAGTGCGGAACAGCCTCGGGGCAAAATCCCTCTCGAGGAAATTTCAGACGACGAGTCTCAGTGGTCTGAAAGTAACTCGAGTGACGATGACAATTCTTGAAGACTTAATTCAGTCTTATTATAATAGCGATTGATACATCAGGCGGAAAGCGTAATTTAAAAATGAAAATTAAAGCACAGCAAATAACTTTCAAACAAGACATAATTTGTATTTTTGTTATGTCTTGTTTGAAAGTTCTTTGCTGGGCTTTAATTTTCATTTTTAAATTACAGTCTTATTACGTTTAAGATTAACTGTTTTGTAATTACTAAAGTTAAAAGTTTAGAGGCAGGCAGCTGAAATTAAAAGCTCCTACAATTAATTAGTCTACGACTATGTTAAACTAAAACCGCAAACATTTAACAAAACAGGATTGTGACAGGATTTTTTACTTTAGTTGTTATTATGTCGTCCAGTCGTAGGACTGATGTTTGTTACGCGATTCCCATTTCTGTTACTGTACACGACAAAATTTCGCTTCAACTTTTGACTATAGCTTTTGGCTGGAGTTAACATACAAGAGTACATTCAAGTTATATTCCGATTTCAATGCTTCACAAATGCGTGATAACTAATGCTCCAAGGCACGGAAAATATTTTTAAAAATGCCGAGACATGCTGACCCAGTTCAGATTTAGGTCGGCATTTTTTTGCCGACCTGAATTTTGGCGGTTTTCGAGGGCTGCATCTTGTGTCTTTAAGTATCAGGGGGCGGTTGTATGAAAGTCGGATAGCGCTATCCACCGGATAGTGTTTTTTTCAATCGGTTCAAAATTGCCCATTATTTGCTACACTACTTTGATTAAATCTTAGTATTCCTAAATCAAAGATCCTCTTTAATAATTGTTGCTTCCAAGCTGAAATTTTATCTCTTTTCGAGCATTTTTAGAATGGTTGAAAAAATCACTATCCGGTGGATAGCGCTATCCGACTTTGATACAACCGACCCCAGCAGTGTAGTTGGTCTCTGGTCTTCATGAGCACCTTTATGTCCTGAGTTACAAATGGGCAAGGACGGTTACATACGTTGATGTTGGGGTAAACATATTCCTCGCTTTCTGTGAGCGAAGTGTTGTATTTTTAAATAACCTTACGATTGCTCTCAAATTTTTTCTTGGAAGATTATTGTTCTCATTGGTGAGGGTGGCATTTTTCTTCCATAGGGTGGTTTTCATCAATGTTACATGTTCATACCTAAGAGTTCTTCCAATATCGTAGCTATTAAGATCTTTATTAAACATTTCAGGACTCTTTTGTTGCATATTCCAGTTTAATCTGTTCGAGAGTGTATCCTGTAACATTTTGTCCAGTTTGAGTGACCAAGATTTCATCGACCTTTGGCAACCTAATTTTGTACCGAAAGTTGGTATTCATTCCAAATGGAGCAAAAAGGCCATGATCATTTAGGATTTTACCAAGTTTAATCTTCACCCTCCCATCAAAGATCTTATCCGTGAACATGTCAGCTGCCACTGTTTTGTCGACATCATCACTGCCTGACATTATTTTTCTAGTATTTTCGTTCATGATACCCATATCAACCATGTTGGCTCTTTGCTTGCTAGGTAGCCATAAGTCACTGAAAACAGAGTAGATACTTTCGGTGGAATTGTCGTAGACGGTCTTTCCCCTAACTGAAATTTCAAGACTACTAACCAAAAGCCTTCCCAAATTATTTAAAAACCAGGATTTTGTATTACCGCTCTTAAACTTTGCAGTCGGGAAAAGAGTATTTGGAACTAAACAAATGTTGGCTCCAAGATTTGGAAGATTAAGATAGATCTCTTCTCCAGGGTTTGCTGTGTTTGTGTTGAAGGTCATCTCGTTAAATGATCTTTTACTTTTAAATTTTGAATACTGTATTTGCTCATAGTCAGGAATAAGATGTTCCATCTTTGTAATATTCATATCAACCATTTATTATATAGTTAAATTAGTCATTGAAACTACTTTGCTTTTTGGTTGTTCTTGTTGAACTTCTTGTGGTTGCAGCTGCTTTGTTCCCTCTGGTCTTGTTTGTATGTGTAGTACAAACAACCTAGTCCAGAGATTACACCAATAACTGTTAGTAGTGTTGCTATATTATAATTTGTTGAGGTGGTATTTTCAACTACCTCTTCTTGACTCAACTCTTTTTGTGCTGATGCATTGTAGGCTGCTAATTTTTCCCTCCTGCAACTCTCTTTGGGTCTTTTTCAGTCTTCACTACTGTTATCTGTTCCTCTTCACTCATTTATTTTAATATGTTGTAATTTTGCTGTGTTTGATCTAAATTTTGTTGACAACAGATCCTTAGCAAACTGTCAACAAAATTACAACAAATGTAAGGTTGTTGTATTTTATTGTGTGTTGTCACCAGTGAGTGATACAGCTAGAAGATTTATTCTAACTTGTTTATATTCATATTAGTATTCGCGAGTTAGTATTAAACTTCATATTAGTATTCGCAAGTTTTACAATATTATTGTAACCATTAAAGTGTATATGAAATGAAAATTTCAATATCGGGTTTTTTGCATTTTCTAAAAATTTCGTCCTTTCCAATCATAAATATACCAACTTTGTTGAAAAATTCGAACTAGAAGTTTGTGAAATTTACGATTAAAATTCGATTTTGAGACTATTTACTGGCGAAAGACTGGTATCTAGAATTTTGGCCCTTGTGACGTATGCAGTGTGACCAAGTGTGACACGTCGACGTGTTTTAGTATAGCAAAATAACAAAGATCACACAATCACGCAAAGCTTTTTTAATATTGACTCTATATATTGTGCGTAAAAAATGTCTGATAACGAAAGTTTCGAGTCACAGACGGAGACAGAAGGGTCATCAGATAATGAGGACATCGCTGAGCAATCGTCTGTTGTTCAGCCTTACCAATTTGAGCCACTGGCAGATAGTGAATATGAGGAAGACGAAACGGACGAAGACGGTATTCTGCGCGAAACGTTTGAATCGAGATTTAAGGGAGATTTACCTGTTAACTCATGGTAAGTAATTTCATGAAACTAATATTATTTTAGGCTGTTTAACCACAACCTTTTCCTCTTATTCGTCTGTATATTTTAAGGTGCACATGCGGACATTGTAGAGTAGAGTTGTTACAGGACGCCAGAGAATATCGTTGTTGCAAAGAAATTCTCGAGTGCATGGGCAAGTTTACGAATGAGGCAAGGACGCAGCATGCATAACACAACATTGGGACTATGCTGTGGTCACACACCGGACAGTATTAGAGACTGCAGGAGCTTTTCTCTCCGACAAGTCGGGGAAAAAATATCATAAGCCAACAAGCAGGACACAAGATCGGCAAAATGAGTATGTACATATTTGTACAACATTGCTATTTATGTTCTCATGTGTACAAATTAGTACTAATAGGTCGAAATACAGAGTCTTTTATCGATTTCGGCTATACACAACAAAAATGTAACGCACGCGTGAAATTAACGACTCATTGCTTGATTATTTAGGTATTTACGAGCGGTGGCATATAGATGGGTGGTGAGATGGATATTTGGCATGCTGGGGTGGGACAATTCTAGACCGCTTCCAGCCTGCCTGTATCATGAAATAAGGAAAAGATTTTCATCTTCAAGTACCACCGGATACAAAGAATCGACGCAGAGAACTTAATGTAAACGCAGAGAACTTGATGTTTTGAAAGGGAGAAATAATTGTCTGCACTTTGAGTTTCCTAAATGTGATATTAGTAAACTCCCATAATAGATACACGGGCACACATTAAAAGGAAAAATACAGTGAATTTATTACTTTAATTTCTCATTATCAGGTATGTTATATTATACAATATGCCAATATGAATGTATATATTCTTTATTTACTAACTATTTTGTTGTTGACCAGCTGTATTTGATTCACATATGCTTTTTTGATGGCCTTTCATTGGTTGTCCACATTTTCTGCAACAAGGTGCCTTGCGGTTTTGCTTGCTAGCAGATTTTGACATTTCTTTCTGTTGGTCTTGGTGTTGAATATCACCTAAACAAATCAAAAATACAGGATACTATAAAGTACAAGATACTATAAAGCTTACATGTACACAATTATGTGATAAAAGCAAACCAATTAAGTACTAACCTGAAGGAAACAACTCAGTTAGTTTTCTTTTCCTTTGTGTTTGATTTCTGATAGCTTCCTCCTTACTCCTGCGCTGAGAAAACTGGCTGGTCAGTGAACCAGGTTCCTTAGCTTTGTATGTTTCATACGTCTTTTTCAAATCTTCCTTGTTGCATTTGTACAGAAGTTCATGACACATTTCATCTATATAACCTTGAGGAGATGTTAATAACAACATTAGTAATAATTTATGGATTCATACCATTTTACACATTTATTTATACATACTATATGATGCTGGAACAGAAATTTCCCTGACCATTTCTTCACCCAATTTATATTTTGGGTTGGTGACCCTTATATATGGAATGCCTTTCTTGGACATCTTTGTCACCCTATGGGTATTTTCATTGAAGTGTAAACATGCTAGAATGTGCCTAGGTGTAAAAAAATTCACATAAGTTCAAATATTTCTATCCAATATTACTATTATTGTATACAGTCTGCTCACTTTAAGCACAGATTGTGTACTAACCTGCAGTATGTCCCTAACCAAGAAAAGTGAATCATTTTAGGATGCCAATGGTTTAACACAGAATGAAAACCCTCTAAAGAGCTAGTTTGGACAACAGGTGAAAGCTTTTTGATATCTTTGACTAAGGTTTTCTTTGTCAGAATATTTTTGAGCTTCTGGTATGGTTTCGATTCTATGAAAGATAAAAAACAATGAGATGTTGAAAATCACCTTTCACATGCAATCTAGGAATGTGCCATTTCTACCACATACCAATTTTAATCCACTTCTTAGTTTCGGTAATTTCACCATGATGACATTTGTCATACAATGCATTTGGATGTCCTTCATGCTCATTGTTGACATGCCTCATGAAAGACAACCACTTTGCTTCTATAAGGGAAGCAAAACCAGGCTTGGTTGATACAGCACACCAATATATGTGGTTTCTGATGGATTTCGCCCATTCTTTTAGTATCTCGCAGCCTTTCTCTTTGCTTGCCTTTAGTACTTTTCTTCACAGTTGACTTCGCCTGGTGCCAAATATCATAGTAGTGTGTGGTATCCTTTTGTGTGGATCGAATCCATTTTCCAATACCGCGGTGACGATCAGACACGAAGTCAATTGGAAGCTCCCTTGACTATTATCGCGTCAATGAACGCTTGGCACCTTCCAACTCCATTTTATTACTACTCCCAACTTCATTGGCCTGTAAGAATAAGGTAATACAGTAGTAGAACGGGTGCATCCCTTAACCATTTCTAGACTTCGCCTGGTGCGCAGCGGTAAAAATATGCCTGAAGTTAAAGGAAATTAAAATACCTGAAGTAGTTCGAAGTGTACAAGTTTTGTCAGGTTACAATTCAACATTGTATAACACCCATACTTTGCGCTGTGTCCCATGCTATCGAATCTACCATCTCCAGCCCAAACGCTATCTTTTATACCCTTCAGCTGACCGATTAATACAGCCCAAGATTTCTCCCAGTATTGCAGTATTAATGGGAACAAAAATTTCTTCTGATGGTAGAAAAAAGTCCTAGCACAGTACATTTTAAGGCCCATATGCCTAAATAACAGCAGAACCTTACTAATTGAGGATCCAGACATCAGGATCGCAAAATTCATTAAAATATTACCAGCAGGATACTTTCCCAGGACCAACGGTTGACTCCTCCACGTATAACCTTTGCATGATTTGCATGTTTGTTCCACTATTGCCATTGATCCATGCATTTTGACATTAACACTTGGTGATTGTGCCTTGCATTCAAAACAGAACAATGAGAACAGTGAAACCAACATACTGTAGAACACAATAAATTTTGGTTCACTATCAGCTGATCTAAAATAAAAGATAAATTATTTTTAAGAGTTCCGGAGAATAACGCTTGTTGCAATATGTTATAAACGAAAAAAGACCTACCTCACATTGGGCGATGTATTTTTATCTTCTGTTTCGCCAAGCTCGTCATCATCTGATGCGTTAGCTTCTTCGTCCTCCATGTTCGCGTTCCAGTCTGGATCTTTTGTTTCCCGTCTTAAATCATCATCCGAACTATCCCCCATTAATTCATCATCGAAATGACATGCTTCGTCTAAAACACCAATATCTTCATATGTTTCGTGTTCTGCTTCATCAGTGCTGCTTTCTTCAGAGGACAAATCTTTTCGCATATTTTCAACTAACTAAAACGATAAACACAATAAATCAGTGAAATGATCAATCACATCCTGGTGGCCAAAACGCAATGTTTTTACGAGATAAAATGGTGCTGTGTTATAGCTAATATATAAGTAATTGGTTACAACAAACCTTTTGGAGGTTTATATTCTCTTTTCGCAACTTCAAATTACGTTTCTTTTGCTTCGATCGCAACTTCTGAAGCTTTTCAATTCTCTCCTGTTTTACGCTACAATTTACACACAGAGATTCATGACCCGTCTCTGAGTTGTCACCCTCTGCTCCCCCCTCCGTTTTCTGCATAAGCTCCTCCATGCTCACGTTTAATATTTCTGCCTGATCGGGACTTGCCTCGTCACTTATTTTGTAGGCCGATGACACTGCTTCAGGACTGGATAATTCGCCTGCGCAACTTGTCGATGGGGATAGCTGATCCCGTAAAATCTGCAAGATTCACAATTATTTTCAATTCAAATTGCAAAAAAGCTTTGACCGACTATGACAAAGCAACTCTTTGGACACAATATTTCAAATAGGCAAATGAGGAATGTTTTGCTGCATAGAATATCGCCAGACTCACCCTTCTTTTCGTACGCGATGTCGCTGGTAATTCTTCGAGAACAACCGAATCTTTTGTTGGTACAGACCCTTCTAATAGATATCTGGCCTTTGGTTTCAGCTCGTCCGGGACGTCAATGTGATATCGTGTTCCGAAGCAAGATTTCTCAAAGTGTGCTGAGCATATTACTGAAGAACTCGTAGGAGTAAAATTCAGCCAATGTTTTCGCACGAATTTTACCCACATTTTCTTCTGTTCTTCATTTGCGGGAAACTTATGCATCGATATCCCCTCAACGTGATATGTATTCATGCAACTGCGCAATCCAGGAGCTCTGCAGACGCAAAATTTCCCCGTCTTTGCTCTCTTCGTGCTGGAAGCCATGCTTGTTAAATTCAAAATGCTTAGTAAATCATAACGCACACCTTTTATAGGGCAAGATTGTACCGATTGCGTGCGAGTGCAGGTTTGAATTTTGTGACGTGAGGGAAATGCGGTAGCCAAGCCTAGATGCACTGTGTCACTGTGTCTGTCGCGCAAAGCAAGCATGCAATTCTAGCTGATGTTTTCTAAGTAGAGGTGAGAAAATACTAATCAAATTCCGGTTTATTTTAAGTGCAAAAACACGCAATGTGAGCATCACGAGTGATTGTGAGTGAATGCAAATAATATGATAAGTATATCGCGTTTGAAGCAGCTACAAATTCCATAACATTAATTGTCGTATACCATGCACGCTTATGCGGTGTAATGTCAATATGGTATGATGTCAGTAATATGTAGATAGATAGCCTATATATTCAATTCTAATGTAGATATTTCGTATTAATTGTAGGAATGCAATTTTCTAGTATTAGTTACTACTCTACATTGTTTACAATAGTTGATATCACTTTTACATAATATGCAGTATGTATGCGGTACGTCTGAAACCTCAAGATGCGGTATATAGGCAATATAGCTAGTCTCTTGCGGCATAAAAAGTGTATTTTAGGCTGATACCATTCTTCGTGTTGTTATTATATTCTGTCAATAAATTAAAATTTGTGACTACAAAAAGCAGATTCGTCAAAATCGCTCCGGAATCCCAATTCTACATAGACGCAACTATATAACATCGTAGTAATACATATCAAAAGATCGAGCTGTGTCACACTGCCTACGTCATTAACCGCGCGATGGAATGTTAGGAATTTTGCTAGTAAATAGTCTCAAAATCGAACTTTAATCGTAAATTTCACAAACTTCTAGTTCGAATTTTTCGACAAAGTTGGTATATTTATGATCGGAAAAGATGAAATTTTAAAAAAATGCAAAAAACCCGATATCGAAATTTTCATTTCATATACACTTTAAATCAAGTATAATCATATTAGAAAGAATAAGTATGACTCCTGGTGAGATAGCCATGTTCAACACAACACTTGTATCTTCTATTGCTTTTCTCATATTTGATATGGGAACAGTGTGGTCATCTTGTATTATTGTATCATTTACTAACTTTCAAAAAACCTCCTGCGTTTGTAGCGACCTGCGTTTGTAGCGACATCACACGCCTCTGCCCACTATTGGCCAACATGTTTTTGCTTGCGCACCTAATACAATTGCAAACGTATTTGAAAAAACCAGAAAAGTTTAGCCATATAAAATTATACAAGCACTATGATTAATTAATACTTGATTATAAACAGTCAATAAAATTAATACTTAAAGAAATTCTTCTCTTTCACGAAGATCCCAAAGATGTCTTCCCTTCCTGCTGACTTTCATCCTGCCATCTTCATAGGAAAATTTACAAAGGCAAAGAAGTTCCAGTAGGCCCTCAATATCAAAAATACAGAACTTAGTTAACTTGCTACTGCTAAAACTATTTTGTTTTGATTTGTAATGGTTTTATTGTATTGTATTTTATTGTATTGAGTTATCTTGATAAGTCATAGTTCACAATATATTTTAATGCTTTGTTACTCAGATTAAGAGCTTGACCTTCAAACTTCGCATTTTGAAAAGTTATTTCTCAAATTCATGAATAATTAAAAAACGCTCATTGCTACCACGGCAGTCCCCTGCCAATTGAATGTTGACTTTGTATTTCCGAAACACAAAGTTTGGCTGTTTTTTATTGTCTTTTCAATATACTGAATTTTCTTGTTGGAATATATGAATCTACATGTTACTGTATTGTACTTCGAACAGGTAGGTATGTACTACCAAACTCAACTTACTGTTAAGTCGATTTATGTTTTGAAAAATCAAAGCACAGATTGTATGTCTATACACAAGGAAACTTCTGGGGTATTAAACATGTAAATAATATACATTAGTGACGCAAACATTAAATGTACATATCAAATCATTTTACGGTATTTAAAGAATAGATGCACAACGAATTCCAAAATCAATCTAATGTTGGTTACTGTACACACAGGACTATATTTTCGCCACATCTCAGGCAATTTTACACTATACGGTTTTCGTAGCGTTCTCATATTGTTCAGCAGGATTAGTCTTGTTTCTTTTCCTCAGAGAATTGAAAACAACATGAGGACGCTATGAAAACGGTACAGTGTAAATGGGGCCTCAA